ATTTTATATCATAAGAATTTTTAAATACGATTTCTAACACGATAAAATCAATATAAATATATAATACACATACTATATATTTTACATGTATATATATCACAATTGTGATCATATATGTATTTATATATTTTGGTAATTCTACGATTTCCCACACACCGAACAAGTACCTACATTTACTTGAATATTATCTTTTCGATTTAATCTTTAACTGGTGCTAGATATGCGTTAATCTGAAGGTTTGGAATATAAATAATTTCTAGATTGATTCACATCACTATATCGATCAATAGAACAGATAAAATATAGATAGTTTATCGTATTGAGTGCAAAAGTCGATTAAACAAAAGGGAAAAGAAGTCATTCAGCTCGCTAGGCGTACACAATCAATCACAGAACGCACAGTATGTTGATTGCGCCTCAATCGTTAAAATATGTCAACAGATATATACTTGAACACAATAGCTTACACCCATAGGAATATTATTACGTAGTAGATGTGCACACGGTTCTGTCACATCTCGGGTAGAAAACCGCGCGGGAATTCGACGTGGTACAATATCGATCACGCATGTCAATAACGCTTTCGTCAAAGTTTCGATAATTAAACAATAGTTATCATAATAATAATTACTCGCTTCCGTCGGAAAAAAAAAATATTACAATAATGATAATATAATAGCAGCGCTCCGTCATCCGAGTGTATATTTTTTACATTTTGAGATTAATTATCTTTTGAAGTTTTATCCGTTTTGCGATCGTCTGACTAACATAAATTGTGTTTCTTGCTACGACCCAGCCTAAAATGTATCGCCATCCCTTGTCCAGTAAAGGGTTCACGTATTTAACTCCGTCACCGCGTTTATCCGGTTCTTACGATTTTCAAATAGGTCTGTGCGTTGCCGAAATTATTTGAAATGTGTAAATATTATTAATCTGAAGGGACGAATGCCGCATCATTCGCGCACTCTTGCGGTTCTTCCGCCGTCTTTAGCCTAATGATACTGAATTCGACTTGACGTCTGACTGTTTTCGAGACCCGTAAAATATTTAATCGGTTAAAAGCCACCGATGGCTGTCAACTTCTCGACAGCGACAAGTAAATAATTAATATATTTTTCGTCTCCCGTCGCCGTCTTCCATTATTCTACTTTTCCCCTTTTTTCTACGGTATTATAAAATGATTATTATAATTATTTATTTATTTTTTTTTTAATCGTCCCCAGCTTCTCTTCGTTTATTCTATTTTTCCATTACGGATGACCCAATTTCGAAACGGTGTTCTTTTGAGATTATCACCCTGTCAAACAAAAAATAATCATAAAAACAAAAACCAAAAAAAAAAAAACTCTTTATGAGATTGTTGTTAAAACATACAGATTGCCTGCTTAAAATTAAAAAAAAAAAAAATACTTTTTTTTTCTCTTCACGTACGTATCGTAAAAAGTTGCAAGTCTCATTATTTTTGTTCAAACAGTGCACGTCTGCGTTAATTTTCATTTGCATTCAATTAAAAAGTGTACTTCTTTCCATATGAATTCAGTGTTGGTAATTGGACTGCACTAAGTACCTCTTCTGCAATATCAGTCTGCAGTATGCTCGAACATGATTTGTCTAAGAATTTTTTTCTCGTCGGCGACGGCGATATTCAATCTTCTTCTGTCTTGGACGTCTGCGAAAATTTAAGCCATTTACGGATTTTACGCGTTCAAATTGCCATGATAACACAACGGGAGATATTCGTTATACGCGCCGCATTAAAAAAGTTGTAATAAAACCCATAGCATTTAACTGATAATCAGTAATTCTATAGATATGCTACTATATGTAAAAGCGTTAGATCGACATCACGTATTTGGTAAAAGTTCCCAATGAAAGTTTTATCGGAGGGTTGCAGAAAAACGTCTAATAACTTCCAAAGAACCGTAAATTACGCGCGCGCGCGCTCGCGTAAAGTTTGTAATGACCCTCGGCGCGGTGGTAGCAGCCAAATGCAATTGGAATATACGATTTTCTCGAATGTTTTTTATGTTTATTTTTAATTTATATTATTTATACTTTATAGTCCTCGTGACAATTATTTGCCTGTCTGGTATAAAACATTAGCCTTCGACTGTTTTTTTTTTCCTCAGAATCGAATAATCGACGACAACAAACACAGCGGTATGCATTTATACTGGTCTACGAAAATACAGGTGTAGATTTTAAATGACCTCGACCCGTATATGATAATTAGTGTCTTCATGAAATTTACCCGACTCCGCGAAATAAAATACCCCTGTGGATCCACCACGTATTAGACTGCGTTTCTGTTGTGCGAAATTGTTCGTTTTGTGTGCTATGAAAAAAAAAAAAAAAAATCCGTGAGAAATATATGTTTTTATAAAAAATACTATTATTTTGAAAAATCTGAAACAATCAAGATATGTTAAAACAAAAATGTTATGACACAGTTTTTTTCATTTTTTTTCAATAAAATATGCAACACAGTAATCATGTATGAAGAAATAAATAAGATTTATATTTTAAAGGGATGATTTTCAACAAACAGTCTATTCCTTCTGTCGATCTTAAGCGTACGAATTATATATACTTACGTTTCGTCGGACACGTATTTATTAATTATCTTAACGTGTTAAACAAGAGGATAGAACGTCAATGTCCGTAAGACGTTTGTGATTTTAGGCATTCACACCACTGCAGAATTTACCTGGGGGGGGGGAATAGGGTAAGTGCAATACGGTCGATTTACAAGACGCAATTAGCGTCTATGGCCGCGAACAGAAGTAATAAAAGTTACCGAGACGAATCGCACTATATCCAATTTACTGGAGAACATATACCGTTGTAACGTAGGTCCTAATAATCATCACTGTCGACGTGCGCCATTACGGTACGGTACAGCTGCAGCGTCCGTGTGCAAACCGTCGGATCGATAAACGGAGAATGTACTGTTAACGGAGAGTTCTTGTTTATTCTCATGTCGCGCATGATGTTCAACGAGGGTTTTTGTTTTTCTCGTTATTTTACGTGATACGTGCGACAACTCTTTATATTTTATTTTATATTTTTTTTTTATATATGCGTGCGTGCGCCAAGGCGGGTGGGTTCGATCGTGGACGAGAGGCGAAAAAAAAAAAAGCATTCGCGCAAATGATGTGAAACGCGCGCGACGTAGGTACTCGTCGGCCGCGTGTTGTTTATTTTCTCACCCGACGTCTACCGCCTACACGTCATTGTACACGTGTAGACACGGGACCCCTCGGCGCTTATATTAGTATAATACTCGACGACTTCGGGCGCGATTGCGAATTGATGCGCGTCCGACGAGTAACACGCGCGCCCGGCCCGACAACCCTTTCCCTGCGCGCACCTACCATGGCAAGCGGAGGTGTTTTCTTTTTTTTTTCTCCTTTCACTTCCTCTTGTCCTTCGTGTTTTCCTTCTGCTTTTTGCTGTTGATTCAGTATTTTTTTTTTCTTTCCAACAAAAGGTGGCACCGCGCTCCTTTGTGCAGTGTCCGTCGTCGCTATGGGCGTTTGCACGTATCTGCACTACAGCACGTACGTCCACGACTGACGCACAGACTGGTAGGGCCGGGGGATGATTGTATCGTGGAGAATACGTCGTATTAATTATTATTTTTATTTCGAAATGCAACGTGCGGGTACGCGACGTGAACGAGTGCGCCCAGCCGAAGGCAGTGCACACGTACAGTATAATAATAATAACAACACATATCGAGTTGCCACTTGACCGGCGGCGGAGCGAAACGCGAACGTTCAACCACTCACCCTTTCGTCGTTACCATCGCTACCACTCGCCGCCGTAATATTATTGTTCTGTAGAACAGTCCTGCGAGGAAAAAGTAACCACGTGGTAACCATACGTTTTCGGCTTGAATGTCCGCGTATCCCTTGTCGTCGGCTTCACGTGGACGTTCGATGTACCTCGACATTAAATCGTGCAATATAACGTTCACCCTAATAAATACGTGAATCGCAAGGGGCACCTGGAGAAACTAGTCAAATGTAAATCCACCGATTATGCCACGGGAGATTACGTAAAATTGGCAAACGTTTAACAATTATTAACAACGCACCGTAAAATAATAAATAATTCTACAGTGAAACTTTCATTTGACGTATATGTGTTTAATGAATTATATTTGACACCATGACCGACGTAATGAATTATTAATATTAATATATTAATAATAATATACAAATTCCTTTCCACTACAATTATTTTTTGTTCCCCACTTCGTTATACTAAAGTTTTACTGTATATAGAGTTTGCTTTATGGCTGTACTATATTTTCAATGTAAAAAAGATAACATTCACTACACACATTGCAAGCAAAAAGTTAAGCCGGAGGAAAATTAAACCGTTGATGGTTTAGCAGTAAAAAAACGCTCATTCATTACACAAATTCGCATTATTGTCTGCTCAAAATCGTGTTTCGCAAGACGTTGTACCTCATAACTGCGTCGAAATTCTCCACTCGATATATCAATACTATAATGGCGTTCGATTTTTCCAAACCAGTCGAACTTTTATAACGATTCAACACGGCGCCTGCGCACACCGCCCAACCACGTCGAAAAGTATTTCCGGTTACTCTGGCAAGAATCTACCGTTCCTCTCCGTACCAAGTTCTACCGCAATGTTCCGGCAACGTTTCCAGTCGCACAGGGCTTGGATAATGAACCGTTCGCTACGTTTTGTTTCGCAACGCATATTAAACATTCATGACAAACCGCATGAGCCACGGCGGGTTTAACATTTCACCGATTTCGTTCGAGGGTTTCTCGTGATATTGTCCCTTTCGGCAAAAATATTTTCGCAAACCATGAGATTTCGAGCGGTTTCGATGCCGACAATGTGCAATTAGTGTACCGTGAAAAATGTTTTACATCAGCAGCGCATACTTATACTTATACCCGCGTGTATAGTTCCGTTGGCTGTTAATCGGTCGTAACTTGAAATTATTCTGTTTTCAGAGGTACACTGCGGCCGAGCACCCCGGATCGTAGAACATCCCACGGACATCACAGTCGGGACGCACGAGCCGGTCACGTTGAACTGCAAGTCCGAAGGGCAGCCACAACCGGACGTCCGATGGATGCGCGACGGACGGCCCGTGGACGTAACCGGTAGCATCCGCAAAGCGCTTTTGCCCGACGGCTCGCTGCTGTTCTTGGAGGCGTCTCAGGGCAAGCGCGACTCCGATTCCGGCACGTACTGGTGCATAGCTAACAACTCGTTCGGAGAGGCCGTCAGCAGGAAAGCCAATTTGATTGTCACATGTAAGTAAAATCCAAACCGGCTAAAGTTATCTTACTCGTCGTGGATACTCGAATAACCGTTTGATTCCCTTTAAAGATTAACTTGATGATCAAAAACCGGTGCCGAAAGGAAATCCATATGAATTAAAATACAATTGTGATCGAGAAACTTAGGAGACGATTTTTTTTTTCAAAATTATTCACGTATCTTAAGAGGTTTTGATAGCATATATTTCATATAATTTATTAGTAATCTACAGCAATCTTTGTAGAAACCGTGAACACGACGTGTTGCATGTGCACTGTAAATTAAAGCGATCGATCATTTATTTTATTTATTTTTTTTTAAAACTATATTACGCAGTTATTTCGAGGAAATGGCCAACGTCCCGAGTTTGTCCATTTGTTTTCAAGTATAAAGTAATAATAATAATATCTTATAGAACATTGAACTTACGATAAGTGCGTGGTAGAATGGGAGTATAAAATGTTAAAACATCTTCACTTCCAGCTCACGTCGGAAACAGATGAAACTTGGAATGATCGGTCATCTTTAGAGTCCCCTATTCTTATTATAGAATACGGTTTGAAGTACACGTCTGTATTGTGTGCAGCCGCGATGGCATCATTAATCAAAGAGCGAACGCCTCGGAAAGATGGGAGGGAAATGCTTTAAAACCGAAACTTTAACGATTTAATCGATTCAATATTGTTTCAAAGTTTTGTATAAAGAGCTCTTTGACAATTTTTCCTTTTAATACTAATCCGCACATTATTGAGGTTTCATAATGATGCTCGACAAAAATCGTAGGGGTTTCGGGGGAATCGTAGAGAACGCAATTCCGAATTAAAATATTTTCTGTTCCAATCGTTGCACTTAATTAAAGTTAATTAAATATTTAATTTTCGGTAATTAATGGCAGCTCTTACTTTACCACATTTTTATGCATCAGACTTTTTATAAGCTTTATATAATTATGCAAATTATATGTTTACGTGTAAAATCCAACCGTTGAACATCGTTTCATATCCGTTAAAGCGATACATCGATCGATTCTCGAACTGCTGAACGCATTACAATGATATAATTACAAATAACTTCCGATCGACCTATCTTATTTTTATTTTTATTTTTTTTCGTCCCTCCCATAACAACTCTCGTTTTTCACACGACTATTTGAACACATAATTTCCGCGTACACACATACACACGTCGTTGAACAGCGTGATTGACTTTTATCGGGCCCGTATTTATTAATTACATTTGTTCCGGCACATAAAACGGGAACCAAAACGCGTGACGACGGTCCGTAGTCAGATCCGTTTTATATCGCGAGCACGACAATACAATACATTTATGTATAAAACGTTACGTCGAATCCCCCGGAGCCGTATGCGGAAAACATGGCCGTTCGAAACTAGTCGTACGTAATGCGCGGTGATATTGATCAAATCCAAATCGTGACGACAGCGGAATCGAATCCGAAGAAAATTAATAACAATGTCGACCGTTGTGGGATATAAACGCCTGTTTACACCTAACTTTATTGTAAAACGACTTGCGTGGCCCTCGACGTTTCCACCACGGTGCTTGTCCGTAATTCAATTTGCCTACCCGGCTTTTTGATTCGCACTCGTGTTAAAATTATTGACAAGGACGATGCTCGCATGTTTGACTACTGGTTCGGCGCGCGCGCGGTCGACTTGTGGAGACCGATGGCAGCGAGGCAGTCTTACGGTCGGTCGGTCAACATGCGTGGAGTGCAAGGGGGGCTTATTGAAGCGCAAAACAAACGAACAAACGGCCGGAAGCCGTTTTCTTTGGACGCTGGAATTGAGTGAAAAAAAGGGGCTTTTTCTTTTTTTGAAGGGTGGGAGTCTGTTGGGGAGGATGGATGGGTGGGTTTGAGGAGTTTAAACAAACATTGCCGAGAATACGGTCTTGTTTGATGTTCCCCGGGGAAACGTCCGAAGAGCAAAGAAAACGCGTGTGGCGGAAACTCTTTAAAACCCGAAAACTTTTGGTATGTCAGACGATCGTTTCACTAATTAATGGACGGGAATTTAAGAAAGAGAAATGTTCGTCGGTAGTTCTGTTTTGTAACAGAAAACGAGAGCAGATCGTATCTGATGGGGAAAAAATGATAATGAAATACATGATAGGCGGAACAGGACGACCGAGTGATACGCGATGAAGGTTTTCGGTTGACAGGCTTCACGCGATTATTTTTAGATACATGTATAATGCGACGTTCTGCCGTTACGTGATCCCTCGGCTGTATATCATTAATTTATATGATTTTCAAACTGACACCGGCTCGATGTACGTGCATATATATATATGTATAATTTATTTACGTAAATGATAGAAATTAAATAAAAATCCGTGAGGCGCAAGGCGTGAACGAGATCAATTTCGACGGGACATAAAGGAAACGGATCGGGGGTACCGAACGAGGAACACTTGCGAATAAAAGTATGTGCGTTTGCGTGCGTCAGGGAAAAGGGATAAAAAAGATAAATAAAAATACGAGTGCCGATACAGTGAAACGCTTTCCGGATATCTACCTATACCGTGTTGTCCCGCAAACAAATGCAATCCATTACCGTACGGATTGGATTCCGTTGTCATTTTCTCTTTGACAGCCGATTTTTCTCATCTCTCAAACGTGTTCACGTATACATGTATATAACAATGTATATAAATGTGCGTGTGTGTGTGAGTATGTATTAGTTTTGTCGCCCGGAGAAATGTTTGTAAACTATTGCTTTTATCGGAAATACGCACTACAAGGGAGTGCATATTTTCTAACTTCAACCGTTGAAAATAATGTAATGAGAGAATTCGTACCACGAAGAACATTGTGTCTAAAAAAAGACCAAATTGTTTTAAGATTGTTAAGTTCAGACAGACCGTTGCAGATCACGTTTTTGGCAACTAGATGCGTTCAGTTGACATTTTACACGGATTCGATTAATATATTTTTAGATCACCGTTGAAATAGCGAATTAAAAACGCATCTATTTTGCAAACAGCGGTATGAAAACGTGGAAAATAATAGTTTTTATTTGCTTACAAAACATTTGGAACCGTTTGACTATTTATTACAAAACGATGTTTGCATTATAAATAATTATGTTGTAGTTTATATTAAAAGGGAATAAAAATGAAAATGATAATTTATTATTGCTCCAGAAAGTTATTGAATTACATTTTTAATATTTTCGAATTATTTCAGGTAAAGTAATCAATACATGTTTTATTAATATTTTCTTAATTATGAAGTTATAACTTATTCATTCGATGCTTTTCAAAGTAGGGTTTCCATTTTTTTTACCCTATTGAGTGATTGCTGAGTACAATGTATATAACATATCTATATTTGTATGATTATTATTTCAAAAACCATTGCGCTTCATTATTAGCTCACTTTGTAAAATTAGTAATACAAGTAATAGTTATAATAAATGTAAAAATCAGACTTAGTAGACCATAAATGAATTGTTGAAATACAATTAAAGCATTGATACGGGGTTTAAAACAATCATTTTTGATACGTTGACACACGAGGTTTAAACGTTTTCATTGTTTGGTCAATAACAAGATTATTATGATAATACTTCAAACCAAATTTATATTGAAAAATAGATTTATTAATTTCACTCCGTTAATTGTTTTCTGTTTTTGACATAATAAAAAATGTACCTTCACAATAACAATCAAATAACAACGATAATAATCTAAAAAAAAAATAAATAGAAAAAACATATTAGAGAAATAAACTGTATAATTTCCGAGATGAAATTAAAAATTGAAACATTTTAAGAGTTTTTGCCGCATTAAAGCAAAACTAATTAAATTATTATGTATGAACGTAACTAAATGTACGTTCACGCAGCTTCGTAAACTTCGGAACCGTAAACTTTGCGGTATGAACAAGTACAATAATGCAAATAATATTCGGCTTTATGAAGTTTGAATTCAGATTTAATTAAAAAATACAATGAATAGTTTATGTTTTTTTTTTTTTTCAAATATCATCCCCTAAGAATTCCCGGTAATTAACAACGGTTTGACGTTAAAATCCTATAATATTGACTACGGACGGTATGTGTCGTCGGCATGGTGGTGAAAATTACTAAACCCGCTTTCGGCTTAAGGCGCGCAGTAGCCGTGGTAACGTACGCGGATGTATTCTCATATATATGTGTTCGGATACAGTGTTACGGTGTGCAGCAGCTACCCTTCACGATCGTCAACAATACACAAATACGTTTCCATTCGCTGTCATCACCGGCGTTCCAGTTCGAACGACCGGTCCGTGGCGGGGTAATAATAATAATAACGATAATAAACGATATAACAACAATAATGACGATAAATGAACAATTATTATGATAACAGTAACGTATTCGTATTTGCATGTTTGTGGACAAAGGGACCCGGGGAGTCGGTCCCGACAATGAGAGACAAAAATACGACCGGCCGTCGCATATTGTTGTGCGGAAACCAGGAAACTGAGATCGCGGCCCGCACGCGTGGAGATGCAGATGGTCACAAAAAAAACCGTGTAAATCATAAGCGCGATTCGATCCGGTGACAAGTATGCAAAATGTTTGGCCCCCAGAACCGTTTTTTTTTTGTTCTGCACGGTGACGCGCGTTACCGCTCCGCCATTAAATGGTTTTTTTTTTGCCCTCGCTCATCCCGAAAAAACGCGATCGTCTTGCCGTACATCATTATTCCGTTTGCGGCTGTATGTATACGCCGATCGAAACTAACCATCCGAAAAATTGCGTTTTTCAAAAACGTTCGATCGCGGTCGCACCGAGAACTATTCGTTTTCGTCGACTTTTCATAATAAAAGGTTAGCACATTTCTTCCGTTATCGTCTGAAGACATTTAAGACATTTTAAACTCATTGCCGTTCCCATCTTAGCCGTTCATCGATTCTAATCGGGAAGAGAAAATATTTACATTAAATGCATACGACTCGTCGTGGTTTGGTGTACTCAGTTAA